TATGGGTGTGGAATTGTGAAAATCAAAGAGAAGGACAGAAGCCAAACTGTATTCCATGAGAAAATGGGGAGAAGTTATATCAGGGGTGGGGTTAGGTGGGGAAATCCTGCTGCATACACAAGGCAAAATGAGGGTGAGAAAGAACAAAAACCAGACCTGAATGGGAAGAGGCAAGCAGATAAGCAGGGTTAGGAAATCCAGGGACCTTGAAAACACCTAACAAAAAAAGAAATGGCGTCAAGATTTTTTTTTAAAGCCCAGAGAGAAGAGCTTGAAGGAATGCTAAAATAAAGGAAGAAGGGAAGGTGAGAGCAGAAACACACACACACACACACACCTCAAGACATGGGGAAATGTGAATAGCTAGAGAGCTGTGAGCCACACAGAGAAAGAAGATGAGGCTTATGCTGAGAGAGGGAAGGAAAAAAAAAGGGACAACCTACCACATAGGACACACAATAATCAGAGAACTGAGGGTGACACACAGCAGGGAGACACAAATATAAAATGAAGCCAATAGCTGCACAAAGCAGGGGGCGGGAGTGATATAACAGTGCAGAAAGAGACAGCAATAGAGTTAATAGATACGCACAAAGGGAAGAACTAACACAAAGAACAGAATACACACATAGTGAGGGGCTGTTAGACACTCAGCAGACACACACCAGGAAGTCTGTCATGGATATGAAATGCATAGGAGAGAAAAATATTAAGGGAAAGACATAGACAAAGAAAACCGATTAGGGGTGTGTGACATATTTAGCAGACACACACAGACCAAAAGGGAAGAGGAAAGTACATGCAGCCAAAACACAGGAGATAAAGGAGAGGAAAATTTAAAGCCAAAGAACAACAATAAAGAATACACCACACACACACACACACACACACACACACACACACATACATGCATGCATTGAACTTATACAATGCTAGAAACATTTATGGATCAAACATACTTATACCAGAGCTTGTGGCATATTTGGAAAAAAACACATATACATATATAAAGCTCTCTGGGGAAATGGCATACATTAAAAGCCAGATGAGGGAGAGTATACGCTCTTTCATCCTTTTCACATGCCCTGAACATGGAAATCATGAAGACAAAGACTAGAGGGGCATAACAACCAGCCAATACACACATAGAGAGAGAAGCAGCGCTTACAAGAATAGAGACTCAAGGTGTTCCTGACAAACACTTATAGTAGGCAGGTGTCTGAGATGACCAATCATGTTAAGTCATTTTTGGGGAGAGGGGAACACTGAGGGAAGGTCAGCTTTGTGGATACAGATTCTGCACCAGAGCTGTGTTCCATGTTTAAAGATAATGCTACTGATGGTGATTTCCATCCAAGTGGGTGGGTGAGGCTGAGAAGATCAATGCAGAGCTAACAGCCTGCATCGTGAGCTGAGCAAAGGAGAGAAAGGCTGTCTTTCAATTTGCAGCTGCAGTGGACATGTGCAGAAATCAGCACTGTCTATGCATTTGCTTTTTAGGTTTGTGTTTTTTCCCAATGCTTTTGATCAAAGGTAGCAAATCTATTTGCTGATTACTGCTTGCCAGGCTGGAATAACTGCTGCTGTCATTCCCTCACAATGCAGGTGGTCCTAGAGAAGAAGGAAGGGGAGAAACAGGTAGGTCAGTTCCAACCTGTACCCACCATCTTGAAGATGAAGATCATTGGAAAAAGAGGACCTCCAAGTAGAGCCATCAAGACTCGGGCAGTATTTCCCTTGAGAATAGGCTGTGCCCAGTAGACATGGTAATATAACTATAAAAAAATCAGACTGATTTTTTAAGATTTTGATGGGACCTTAGTGGTCATCCAGTACAGAGGTGTCAAAAACTTGTTGCTGCAGGAACCAGATTAAAATGTAATTGAGAAATGTTAAATAAAAGAAAAAAATACAACATAGATAATGTTAATTTGTGGTTTTCTAAGACTATATTCAGCCTGTAGGGAACTGTTTTTATTTTGAGTTTGACACTACTTATCTAGTCCAATGCCTTTGTTTTACAGATAAAGAAACTGAGGCTCAGAGAGATTAGATGACTTTCGAGGTCACACAGGTAGAATGTGGCTGAGTCAGGATTTGAAGCTACGTCTTATGACTCCAAAGCCAACACTTACACTCTAAACTCCCACATGGCATATAGATACATATGGCTTCCATACTGCACAATGCACATGTAGACACATACATCCCACACTGTACACTTAGCACAATTCATTGTATATCCAAATGCAATACTGTACAATTAACCTCAAATGCCTACTGCATGCAGTGGCAGTTTTAGGTGCTGGAGAAAACATAATACAAGCAACAGTCTCTGCCCTTAAGGAATTAAGGAGCTAAGACACTCTCACAGGTAGCTAAGATACACAATATAACATCATTAGACAGTTACAAAATAAAGTGCTGTATGAAATCTGAAGGTGAAAGTTGTTACCAACTAGAGCCATGGGGGAAGGCTTCAAGAGGTGACAAGGAAGAATTCTAGGCATGAGAACAGCCTGAACAAAAGTACAAACACACAGCTGCTACACCACACTCACATACACTCACAGAGCTCTCTTACTATACACACAGATTCCCCGTGCTGTACACAAAGTAAATAAACATTCATATAGCTCCTATGTACATACGTAGCAACCACGTTATGCACTCACACACACACCTTACACACAGTTCTCTTACTGCATGCACACACACACACAGACACTATTTCTATATTACACACACACAGCTCCCACACTGTGCACACACATGCACTCAGTACAATCAGATGCAGCACCCACAGCACACAGCTCCTACTCTGTACCTACACACATACAACTTCTACAAATAGCACATGCATGTAAACACAGTTCCCATATTGTACAGAGAAAAAGCTCCATGTTGGAGGCAACACAGGTACATAAGGCTTCCAATTTCATAAGCATCAATACTCCGAAAAGCTGGGGGGCTACCGCTTCCCGTTCTTGCCTCCTTCCTGCTCCCCTTCCCCCATGCTGCCTAGAAAGCCTCCAGAAACTTTCTTCAGGCGGGAAAAAGGTTTGACACCTTCAACCCTTCAGGGCTGTCCGGTTTTAGCACAGCCAAGGAACGAGAATTCTTCTCAAACTGTACGTCTCCCCCCTCCCCTCAACACACCCCTGCCCTGATCTCCATGCCCCTATATCTTCAGTCCAAGCTTCTGGGAAGGATAAAAGACTAACTGGCTCCTCCCCAGGACCTTGGAGAATAAAGCCACCTGGGGCTACCCCGGGTTCAAGAGAAAAAGGTTTTGGTGGGAGGGGCCACGACAAAGGGAAGTGGGCTGAGGCACCTGTGGGGTTCACCGTAGACTGGAGCGGACTCCTTTGAGGAAGAGAGTCAGTTGAGCGCTGAGGTGGGGGCATAGGCGGTGGTCGCCATGACGCCTAGGCTGAGTGCAGGAGCCTCGGCTGTAGCAGCGGCTGCCGCAGCAGCAACAGCAGAAGAGGCTGCTGGAAGGGTCTACTGGAATCCGGGAGCTGTCCCTTCAGCACCACTCGCCTAGCCAGGCCTGGCCCTTAGACTCCTCCAGCCCCAGGAGATGGGATCTTCTCATCTCCCACTGCAGCCCACACCCACAGAGGCTGACTGACTGAGCGGGCAGCTCCAGCCCCCACAGAGGGAGCGGCTCTTGCTGCGGGGAGAGAGGGAGGTGGGTCTGGGGTCGGGGGTGATTCCCCAAGAGCCAAGGCCAAGGAGCAACCTGTCAACCTTGGGCACGAACAGCTGGCAGTTGTCTGATCACCCAAGCCTGGAAGACAAGCAGGAGACATCGCCCTGGATTCCTACTGCTAGACACACACGCACACACACACACACACACACACACACA